ACCTTCGCTGAGAATGACCTTAATCAAGACTATTGATCCGGTCTCACACAATGTTTTATCAGCTGCTGGTAAATCGATATACCTATCGATCAAGTTTGCGGTCGAGTGCCATGATTCCTGGATTAGGTGCGAAATTCGGTCGTCCGACTGGCCCAAGACTCTCAAACACGCGAAGTCAAAGCTGTGCTTTGACAAGAACACATGGAAAGTTTACCTCCCCGTCTCACAAGCACCACCAACGTCATTGGCTTGACAACAATTGCATTCTCTCTGGTAAATGCAGCCAGACCCGTGGTTGTCAATAATTTGGTCCGTAAGGTGCATAAATTGTTGACGGATTCTACCTTCTGGTTTGTGAGCGACGTCAATCCCAAATTCACTAAAGCGAAATACGTTATACAGTAGTCGCCGGCTATTAAACCCACCGCGGGCCCAGACCGAATTGGGCTTAATAGGCGGCGGGCGCACTAACCGGAGAGTCCTGCAGTAGTCGCCGGTTATAATGCCCACTTCGGGCCCAGACCAAATTGGGCTTAATAAGCGGCTGGGCTTATTAACCGTGGCTTAATAGCCAGCGACTACTGTATTGATGGCGGGTCCGAACAGTTAGCTAGACGGACGGGCGAATTTAACATTGGCGTTGTTCGCAGACCGGAAACTACAATCCACTGGCAATCACTACATTTACAAGGCGTAAATATTTTTCTACGACCAGTAAGCCTACACCTTTATGCCTGAGAACCCAACAAAATGGTTCTAACCGTCAAAAAATAAATGGCTATTCGTTATGTCTATGAACTGCATAGATAAGGGGTTAGACAAATTGGAGCTCACAGGAACGGACGGGTAGTGGCCTCAATGCAACGACTATACGGCCTCCAACAGGTATACCATTCGCGGGTGCCCAAATGCCCCACTGTCTTTTTGCGGCTTACCCCAGCATTTGGGCTGTCGACTTGGCTGTACCAACGAATCTCGTTATCACCAAGCGTTCGGCATAGACAGAGAAGTCAGTGGGCCAGTTTCGGATGCGTATTAGGCATCTAAAATTATGGGCGGACGAAGTGATGCTCTCCTACAACACGACCCGGCCTCGTGATAGGCACGACTTGCAATCTCTTTTTGAAAAAAAGAACATAAAGTTGACCAAACAGTGCGCACGCCATCAAGATCCGGCCAGGTTTACGAGCAAAGCAGGCGAATACTCACTAAGAATCACCGTGTTTGCTTTCGGTGAATTGAACACACACACACACGCGCGCGCATTCGTTTCCGAAGACGGTGAACCGCGAAAGTGCAGGAATCATACACTTGAGTCATCAAGCTGGCGTTGACTGACTGGCTCACGTGAGACAGGCACGCGGAAATTATTCGCGCCTCCCCACCACCACCACCACCACTACCATTGTGATCAGACCTGCGCGCATAAGTTCGTGTGCATGCAATCGGTCTAGGGCCCAAGCCGCCATAAAGCCTCCACAAAATGAACACTTCTCACCGACAACTTCCCCTCTCCTAAATGAACCCAGTAATTGCGGTGGTTTGCGTAGCCAACTGTGTGCGTGTCGGACAAAAAACTCAAGTGGAAGGGTAAAAACGGGTGCTCTTTAAACTGGTCTTCAGTTCGCTGTGGGTTATGCCGCAAAGAGCACGGTGAAACTCACAGGCTTTCAGCGACAAAAGATGGCGTGGACTGGTAATGCGCTATTGCCATGGTCACGGCCCACTACCGCTCCATCGCAGAGCGAGTTGCAGTCCATTAAACTTCCTCCCAATCGTTCAGTACTTCCTGTGGCGTTCGACAGGGTTGTATCCTGTAGCCCATTTCGCTCACTTACACTGGGCGTAGTTGACGGTGTTGAGTTTGCAGACGGACGCTGACGGACTGATCTGCACTGCACTGATAATATCGCCTTGCGAAGACACACGGCGTTGAGGCAGTGGGTATTGAACAAGGAAGCCGGACGGCATTGGTGGGTGTCCGCCACATCTAGCAGTGGTTCGCCAGTCTCTGTACGACGGACCCGTAAGTGACCGACCAGATCGATGCGTAATGTGCATGGGTA